ACATATACAATATTAAATCTAAAATAATGTCTTCTCACCGATCCGACAACGAAAGTGACACCGAAGTTTTTGTTGATGCCGAAGAATCACTTGACCAAAATACTCTTACTACTACAATATCTTCGGATAATATCAATGGATTAGAGTCGAACACTTCTAATAATGATAGTGTTCAACCGGATCCAACTCTTTCAAATAAACCAGCACCCATAGCAATTCCTCAGATCTCTGTGACAGACATGTCTTATGAAGATAAAGAGTTATCAGATTTAACAAAGGACCAGGAAAATGGTCATGTTACTGTACCTGAAAGTAAATAATTTAAATAATTTACAATTAATTCCTTTATCAATTAATTTTGATATATATTTACTATATATATATAAATTTTAATTCAGTTGATAGTGATGTGACAACGGATAATGAAGATAATGAAGATGAACCTGTTGATGTCACTGTTTATGTTAAAGATTTGGATACTGGCGAGAAAAAACCAGCATCCGATCTTGAAGAAGAACTTAAAAAATCAAATGTAAATATTGATCCATTATCTTTTCAAATAATGCAACGGACAGGTTCAGATACAGAAATGAATCATGATGAAAATCACACAAGAAGCATAAGCGATGAGGACATTAATACTACTGAAGACAAACCTAATAGGTATGAACATGTTGCCTATCAGGCTATTCTATGTTGATAGTAGCGTTATAAGTACTTATATTGATTTGTATTACTCAGACGAAAATCATTTTTAAGTCGTTTAAAACGAACGCCTCATAATTCTAAAAATGACAAAAATAATGACGAGGGTGGGGATGAAGACGACGGTATTACTGGAAATACCGCGCCAGTATTTTCCGAAAATGCAGATGGTTTTGGACGTGCTCAGCCTCGATACATAAAAGTAATAACGTAATAATATATCAGCCTTTCATTTATCGTCATATATTTAAATTTTTCTTTACTTTAAAATAGACTCGAGCACGAAACAAACCAATTAAAGAATTTGATCGACTTTTTCTTGCCCAAGAATTGTATAATCCACTTTCTAGTGATGATGGTGTGACCGATTTTAAAATTGGTGCTAT